TCCTATCGCAACAACCAGGATAAGTCATCCCAACGTGCGCGTGTTATTTTTCTTGCAGAACAAAGAGATCTTCGCCAGGGCTCATCGAACTCGAGAGGCTCATTGGTCGACCATGAGACGCACAAGATCACTGCCACAACCATGTCCACTACTGTTGCAGAGTTGCACGGACTAATGCGTTGTTACGGTTCAGCATTATTTCTTCGCGGTCTCTGGTCAGACATAACGGGCGAAATCGCAGATGTACACTATCCGCACTGATGCGAACAATCTTGTCACCACAGCATCCACAACACATCAACCGGAACAGAAAGAAACAATGCGTTTGATCCAGATGTTGAGAAAGGAAAGCAACAGTGGACAGATGCACGACCTTGCACATGTACGAAGTGAAGATTGTCTGGCAGATTCGCTGACAAAACATTCAGCTATAGAGCGGACGAGCTCATCAAGGCCGTCCTCACCGGCAATCTCTTGAATGCACTTTTTCGTACCATGTTGCAGAACAAGGCATTCTTGGTCGAGTGGTTATTAATCCATCCGCCTCTCAACAACCCGAGAATGTCAACATGGAGCAGGTTGATTATGATCCAGATTCCGACGACGATGATTCAGATGAAGAAGAAGGGCATCCTCTCGAAGGAAGGCCTCTGTCAAAGGCGATGCCACATCCGAAACTTGTTCCAAAGTCACCGCCACCGACATTGAGGCTTGTCTCCAAGGTCAAGCCAGCACCAAAGAACACCCTGGATGACGAGACGGAATCCGACAATCATCCTGGTGATCGACCTGCGCTTCCAAGGCGACCAGTGATGCGGCCTGTTCTCACATCCAACGATCGGTGGTTTGTAACATACGGATCGGATACGAACATCAGCCTCCAGAAGGAATCCGTGCACCCAGACTCAAAATTCCTGACTTTTGTGCACGAGTACTACAAGGAATGCTCAACCATCCTTGATGTCAATCCGGACTTCCACTTCGTTCCTGAACACGAGAGACCGCATGGAGTTAAGGTATTCTGGTTGAAGGCAAGATTCAACGATTACTGGCATCCGACACTCCAAGGTGAAGGACCTCATGCTACATGGACTTCATCAAGAAGGTCTACAGCATCTGCTGCTACAGCAATGCTCAAGCCGAAGTTTACGGAACCGACATCATCCCGATGGTACACAACGGCAACATTGATCTCGATAAGACCGTCCAGAATGTTGAACAGGTTTGCAAATATTTCCGCATGGAAACATCCAAGGCGAAACAGATCACAGATCTCATCCTCTGGCGAATTGAGAGAATGAGCAGATCGTTTTCCGGATGTCTTCGACATGATCCAAGGCATGGAATCCATAAGGAATGCAAACGGCAGGTGGAAATGGGTCCTGATGGATCCGTCGAGCTCTATGACGCATTGGCCTGCATCACACATGCCAGGAACTTCATTGGAAACAAGCCAGGACTTCTCTTGATGGCTATGTTCCCGAGCTATGGAAAATCGCGTTTCGAAATTGCGTTCGTATTTCCATCCGTGGACGGGACATATAATGAGCACAAGGCACGGGGAGAAATTGTTCCAAGGAATCGATGGATCGCCAAGCTCAACACCAGATCCGCACAAAGTGCACTCAGGCCCGATGGCAAGGACTTCTATGTTGATCCTGAGATGGAGTTCTATGTGAGATGCAACAGCGGACACACACGACAAGTCGATATCCAATCCTTTGGACGACCCCTGTTCTCTGAGCAAAAAGAGCCTCATTACGACGAACCGGACTATGATTTGCCAACGGAATCCATTCCGCCAAGTCCGCATCCGTCAAGATCCAAGGCGCCTCATGGAGATGAAGGCACAGCTCAGCCCAAGTACAGAATGCGAAGGCCGGCACCACCATCCGTTGAAGAAGAGAGAAAGATCAAGCCGTTCTCGAAGAAGCCCATCACATTCATGTTCCATGCAACCTATGGAAGTCAGCTCTACAGCATCATGGAGCACGGGCTCAAATCTGGGAAGTCCCAGTCAAACCCTTCGGGGAGAATGCACGTTCACATGGCATGCATCGATGACGTCATCCTCGAAGACGATGAGTCAGAAACCGCATTGACCCATGTGCCAGCAGGAAGAGATGCGTTGCTGATCCTTGCATTTCTCAAGGACCAAGACTATGGCATCCGCCTTTCCGAAGAGAGAACAGCGTTGACAAACAAAACCATCGAGGCAAGAAACATTGTTGCAGCATTTGAACCTGATGGCAGCCTCATGGCGAGCAACAAGTGGATCATGAAGAAGTATCTCGATCATGAAGATTACGAGATGTACGACACCAAGATCCGCGAATTCGCCGATGCCTTCTTCACGTATGTGAATTCCACCAAGCACAACAAGGAAAAAGATACCTCCTCAGAGACCAAGAAGAGACGGCATTCCACCGATCAGGACTCCACCGAAGGAGAAATGATGGAACCCTCCGGGGAAAGATCCGTCAAGCCCAAGGTCATCGTGGAATATCACAATCCAGAGAACCTAGAAGAGTTCATCCAAGAACTCAAGGGAACCTATCTCGAAATAGATATGAACAAAAAGGACGCAGAGGAAGAGCTCGCGGGGATCAAGGAAGAACTCAAACGCTTCATGAACCAGTTCAACAAAGATCCGAAAGGAGCTCATCCCAAGTTGACAGAGTGCGAGAGAGCCTCATTGGCACATGTCGATCCTGATGTCAATCTCGGTGAAGAAGAATTCTACTTCCCTCATCGAGGAGAATGTCCCACCATTGACGAGTGCAAGCAAGCTCAACCAGGATCCGGATATCCGATCAAGCTGCCGCTTGGACTGAAGAAGCTCAGGTCACAAGATGGCCCGAAAATCATCCGAGCCTATGCCGATATCCTGGGATCGCTGATGCAGCCGACTGACCGTCCTTCCGTGGACTATCTCAACATGCATGAGTTCACCTCATCCATAGGGATCAACATCCTTACCCTGAACCATGGAAACCTCACAAGGAATCCAAAGTTGGACAACAGGGAGGTGTACAACATGCCGATGAAGGATCGACCGATCGTAAAGATGATGATGCAGAACAGTGCACGCATCCTATGCCTGAATGAGGCAGACGCATTCTTCAGTCCGAATGATGAGAAATCCAGGGAGCTAATCAAGACGTTCATCCGATACGGTTCCAAGGGCATTGTGATCAAACAATGGTCATCCAGACCGATTGCATGCTTTGTCCGCGGCGGACCCTCTGCAAGAGTGGAACTTCTGGCAAGACACATTTCCACCAGGAGCCAGAATTGGGGAACCACATTCGGAATGTTCAGATGTTTCTTCGGAACCAAAGAAGATGGCACTGATCCCGAATACGAAATTCCGACCTCGGATTGCTTGGCAACCACAGGAACATCCATGTTTACCGAATCCAAGAAGTACATTGGATCGAGATTGCCAGCACGCACCATTGTCCAAGGACATGGCCGAGACAAGGAGGAGGTCGTTCTCCACATCGAGCAGAGTGATGAGTTTCGTGGCATGATCCCGAAATCATCCGACAAATCATACTACGAGTATGACGACCGCCACATCACGAGGGCAGACCTACCATTCGCCACCATTGGAGTCTTCCACATCCATCCTTCACTTAGCCATGGAGCAGCAAAGAAAGATCTTCAGAATGAAATCATGCCGCTCGTGACCTTGTGCCGATGCGATGCGATCACCGGAGACGCCAACAAATCGGCGAACACCTACAGCAAACTCCAGCATGTCTACAATCCAACCAACGGTCTCGTGAACATCCTCATGAGAGCATACCAGAGACTGTGGAATGCGACGAAGAATTTGCCACTCGTGGACAGAATGGAGTATACGGTGGAGACTTCGTGCACCCTGAAACCCATTGTCCGTCATCACCTGTACATGAAATGCGGATCAGGTTTTGATCGAACATTCCCAGATGTGATGATGACTATCGTATTTGGGTGGGGCAAAACGAACATCCAGCAGGACTTCCGGAAGATCGAGATGAACAGTATGGATGATGAACAACTGGAATTCATGCGGAACCATCCAACAAGGCCATTTTCGATTACCAGGTCTCATCCGCAGAGCGCTACAAGCACGTGAACAATGAAATGTTCATGAACGGCTCGCAGGACTCCGACTCCCACAGTCCTCTCATGGTTTACATCCGCAGCAAATCTGCAACCAGTAAACGCAGCTCTGAGAGATACCAGGATTACGTCAAGAAGAGACAATCCTGGACCACGCAGGAGTACAAGGACTACAACAAGCAGTGGGGATATCAGAAGCAGTGGAAGGACTATAGCAGTTCGACCTGGAATGATTATGGAGACCATGGCAGTCAATCCGACAGCAGCCGCCGATGGTATCGTCGATCCGACTGACCATGAAGATACGTTCAGCACCACGAGCAATCCAGATGATTGATCCTCCTCGTCTACAAGACTATACCATGAGTGAGTGATCAATAGTTTCACAATTGTTCCGCGTGTACATAGCGTTGTACATCACCCTTTGATACAATTAGGTATCCAAAAAGAAGCGTACATAGTGTTTCCCATTTCGAAGGCCAAGACATTTCATCCAGCAGAAAAAGGATGAATCCGGCACTTTTAATCACATGGCTACGGCACACATTAAGGCTACGGTCAAAGGCCATGAAGCCAATAGTATTTCATACTTTGTGCTGGAGATCAAAAGAAATTTGTGTCTGTTTTGTGTTCTGTTTTCCAGACCATTGATCTCCCGCAACATTTGGCTCAAGGCCCCCTTTTGCAGAATCACGACCATCCGAGCGTGAGGACAAAAGAGCCATTGCAGGCCGCTTACAGGATTATCCACAAGACAATCCACCAGGGACAATCTATCCTCCAATCATCCATTACTGGCATATTGGACTCTCTCCGGAATAGATCCAGGGACCAACAACGACCTCAACTACCACAGGGATCCACTTCCCTCCTCCCCCCCGGCCACCCGCCTGGAAGTTGTGGTCCAGCAGCTGCGCCACGCCCCGCGCGGAGCTGCGGACCCAGTCCAAGGGCCCCGCCGCCTTCCGCAGGTCCAACCCCTCCAAGGCCGAGGCCCCAGCGCCTCACCCAGCCGGCGGTGCGGCCGCGCGCGGCTCGGCGCGGCCGCGTGCGGGTGCGGCTGCTTGGGGTGGTTCTTGGGGGTTGGGGTGCCGGTAGAAAAAAGTGTTTGCTTTTTTTTTTTTTTTTAACACAACACGAAATTCAGAGGTGACCCCAACTGGAGAAGTCCACGGGTTTTCCTGTTTGTGTGACCTAACCTGGACAAATCCATGGGTGTCCCTGTTTAATGTGACCTAAACTGGAGAAATCGTCGGTTCTTTTCTGGTGAATGGTTTATGAAGCCAATCGAAACCAATGCTCACATTGTATTGGGCTGATTTTGCAAGATTTGTCTTCTGTCTCCTTCATTGTCCAAGTCTTGTGAGATTCTCACCGGAACGCTCAAGTTAGAGCAAGGAACCACCGAGACCCCCCCCACAAAAAATTGAGGAGCACCAGCCCCTGTTCCAAAAAGAAAACGGCGGTCTTCCACAAAGGGCCTCTGCTCTTTCAATTGTGGCGTGAAGGGTATAGAACTTCGCACGCCGCCATTCCTCTTTGTGGCGTTCCCGTCCATTCGGCCCCTTTCATGAGCCCAAACCTCAAAACGGGGAGGGGGGGAACGCTCCTCTGGTGCGTTTTCACCTTCCTAAGGGCGAGGATGAAAACAAAAGCCGTAAAACCGTTGTCCCCAACTTGGACTTCGGACAAGGCGACACCTTGTCTTCTTTCTTTTTGTTTCCTCCATTCTTTCCTGCGCTGCGCGTCCAATGACATCGCCGTTTTTGATTTTCTCGCGGACACCCTGGCCATAAATATGGTTTGTGCCGGGGGTTCCTATACTCCTATACCCGTACCCCCGGCCATGGGTAAATATGAGTTCACGCCAAACTCGTCAAAACGCAAACTCACGTTGCGCAAAGGGCCCCTTGTACATCCCAGGAGAAAGCATGCCAAAGCAAACATCCATGATCAATGACGCAACTTCTAGCTTAGTGCTCCCCAACAGTGCACCACATCAAGCGTTATCTCACTTCCTGAGTGGATTGGACAAACAAGACACCAAACCTTTTCTGATTTCATGCAATGAATGATCCAAACCCAACAGAAAATGACTCAAGCCGGAGTTCCGGACCTAGGGAAGTGAGCCCCGAACGCCAACCAGACGCCAGCCGGACGCGCGGCCAAGGCGCAGAAGCCGCCCAGGCTCAGGAACCGCGTCTGCGCCAGGAAGCGCCGGATCTGCGGCGTCTCCAAGCCCAGGTCGCGCCTCCAGCCCAGTCGAGCACATGCTCCGAAAGGGTCCCAAAAGGACCACGGGGCCCAACTTTTTCGGCCGAAAACCAAAAGATACCGAGGTTCCGAGGTTGCAGATTTCTGAAGGTGATCACTTTAAAGGGTGTTCCAAAAGTCAAACCCGAAGAAGAGATGCCCAGACCTCAGATCTCTGAAGGTGATCACTTTAAGGGGTGAGGGTGGAACAAATGCTCAGCCCTCTTTTTACAGTCGTTGCTAAATCCATTCTACACCTAAGAAAGCATGGGAATGGGATTTTGTGCATCCACTGTATTTCTTAACGGTATCTTCAATGGGGTTAACTGGTCCTGAAATTTGATCTTTCATACTTCTTGGTGTGAATTTACTTGGCCCAAGGGGGGATTTAAGTCCACCAATCGTTTGGGAGGGTGGTCCAACCATTGACATTCATGGCCACATTTTGGATTATAGCCCTGCTTGGGTATGGTACGGGAACCAAACGGAAACCAGCCATTTAAGCAGTCCCCAATTTGAGACACTCATATTTAGTCAACCCAAAATGTTTCAGTAGATTGCAAGACAAAGGAATTTTCCTTGCGCAAGTAACAAGCGTCAATGGGGAATCCAACCATTGGTGCCCCGGGTCCCAAATAAACCACCCCCCCAATGGGACCATCAACAACTCGGTCTCTGCGGAGGGCTGGAACCGCCAGGGGTCCTTGGCTTCTGGTCCAAGGGAAGCCAAAAGCTACACACAGTGTGTGTGTTTTTTTTTGAGTCACCTCGTGTGACGCGGTTACCCATGTTTTCCAATCCAATGGTCGGCTCGGCTGCCCCAAATTGATAATAATAATAATAATAATTTAAAACAAAAAAAAAAACATCTCATCCATGGGCGGTGCTTCTCCCAAAAGTGATCCGGATCTAAAAAGGGACTCCGCAGCAGTCCACCTTGGAGCTTCCACCGACCGCCATAGAAGAAAACAAAAAGAGCACGTGTTTGCTGGTCCCTTGAAGGGACACCAAACAAAAAACCACAGCGGCTCAAGTGCATGGGCTGCGGATATCGATGGCTGGGCTAAGCTGCTACAAGGAAACAGGTTTGGGAGGGGGGGGTTCTTGGCACTGGGTTTGTTCTTGCAGTCTGGTGCTCAGTAGGGAATGACCGAAGGGGTTTCCCTTAAAGGAAACCACCAGTGGGATGGTTGAAAAAGGGGTTGTTCCCTCAGTGGACCCTGAGAAGCAGCAAGCTTTGGGTCAATTGATGGGTGATTTTTCCCCCGCGCCTGCGGCTCTCCTGGAGGCTCTGGGCGAAATTTGGGTCGTGCTTCACGTGCTGCTCGATGTCCACCTCAGGGATCTTTCTTCAGCTTCATGGAGGTGGACACATCAAACAAAAAGAGAGAAAGATCACATCTGTCTTGTTTCAAAGACAGAAACATGGAGGTGTCCAGGACAGAAGCAAGACACATCCAAAACTAAAATGTCGTGTCCAGGACTTGTGGTCACACCCCGCGAGCTGGGACCCACCCTCCCACACCACAAGCAAAAACACCCCGGTTCGCGTTAAAGACAAACACTTGAGGTGTGTTGGAAATGCGCAATTCCTCCAAGCTCAAGCTGGTTACGACCGAAAGGAGCTCGAACCTAGGTGCCCTTGTGGAAGAAGCTTGCTGGCTCTGCAACCACCTCCAGTAGAGAGGATAGAATAAGGGTACCCTTTTTTCGGCAGTCTATTTTAGTAGGGAACCCTCTCCCAAACAAGAAACGGTAAAAGGGCACGATCCTGGCGGACCTAGGCAATCAGCCGGACCGATTTAAGAAGCGATTCAGCTTTTAGGAGCCCCCCTTTGATTTTTCCACAGAGCCCGGTTTACTTGCTGGCCGGTGCCAAAGAGAAGCCTACTTATGAGAAGCGGAGATGCCAAGCTGGACGTTGCCACACTTTTGAAGGGATCTGGGAACCAAGCCGTAAACTTGGTGCTCAGCATGAGGGAATGTTTTTTTCAACCATCCAACTGGTGGTTTCCTTTTTTTGGGAATCCCAAAACTTTTCATTCCCACGGCCTGAGCCTGCACTGGCGTCTGCGCTGGCGTCTGCGCTGGCGTCTCCGGCGTTTCCAGGCCTGGACCAATGAATCCGGCTGTGGGAAATACACTCGGGTGGAAAGTAGATGCCGCAATTCCCGCATTTGCGTCTACTTGTTTTCCCTTTACCCACAAGGGAATGGTGGCATCTACTTTGGTATAACCCGAAAGTTGGATACCGAAGTGGGATTTGCATGTCGATTGCTTCACTGGGAGTTTCTTGGCACAGAAAGTGATGCGAGCTAAAGCCCACTGTTTGATTTGGACAATCGTTGCAGTCTGGGACTTGAAGCCATTCGAAAGCCTCCATTTGCGCTGCTCGCCCCCTTGGAACACATACATACATGTCATCCAACAGGGGAAAGTAACAAATGTATTTCAGCTTGGACGGAAGTGGCCTCATTTGTTTCGGGGGCCATGTTTGGCTTCTCCTGCAGAATACGACATGGGGCTGTATTTTTGTGAGGGGTACCTTTTTGCCGGCTTTAGCGGAAAACCAGCAGGAAAACCGTTGTAAAGTTTGGGGGGTCATAAACAAACCACGAGCCGCGACATGGATTTCACTCCCTGAGTTTGGTGAAACTTAAACGACCAGTGCAATATGCGTGCGTCTCCTTAAGGTACCCTCCGGTCCACGTTGCATGGACCCACCAGGGGTCCCTTTAAAAGGGAAAAACAACTCCCAGGACCCCTCAGTCAGGTTCTTTGTTAGTTTGTGGGAGGGTACCCCCAAAAACAACTAGTTGTTTGCTTTTCGCTGTCCCAACCACAAAACAAACGCGAAGTTAGCAAAGCAAAGTTAGCTGGCTTTTTGCTTTTCGTTGTTTTAATCAAACGCAACAAGTGGTTAGCAAAGCAAAGACCGAACTTCTGACTTCCGCGCCTGTCTGCAATGATACGGGCATATTCGCGCCCGAGGTGCTGACAGCCATGGCAACAGAAAGTCGGAAGGGCAGATACAACGCGGCCGGCGAAAGGTGCCAAATGCCTGCGGGGTCGCGGGGGCTTCTCTTTGAAGGCGAGCCAAACAAAAACGACCCTGGGTCCCAAGCAGGGAGTAACTTCTTGAACACAGCTGGCCTGCCCTTTTGGTTGTTTTCACTGGCGGAACCAGCCAGAACAGAAAATATCTTCCAGCTGCTTAAGTCCTCTAAACAGAAGCATCCAGTCGTGATAAATGCGCTTTAACGCCAGCAGGGGATTTCTTTGAACAAACGCATATATGCTGCAGCAAAAACACATATTTGAAGCAAATGGAACGACACGGATGTTGCAGACTTCGAGTCTTTCATCATGAGTTTGCCGGCTCCCTGGCTGAGCAATTCTGCTCCCAGAACGGATTTGGACCCATTTCGGGCATTTGAGCTGCCTGAAACCAACAGAAATGACACAACACAAATAACAAAAACAAAACCACCGCCGTCTCGCTTGCCCACCACACCTGAAGGGGGGGGGGGTCCGGGTTTACACTTGCGGCAATGGGAAACGGGACGCACTATGATTAAACTTGAATAGGACAAAAACCAAAGATCATTTCAGGTCGATTGAAAGGACCTTGGGGCCTATAGCTCGTTTCAACGATGTCAAATTTGGGGACCACTTTCCACTTTCCGGCAGGCTCAAGCAGCAGCTCCTGCTTTCCTCTCCTTCCTTTTGATCTCCCTTTAGACCATCTCAAGGGTTCTCTGCGAAAAACACCACTTGCATTCTGCAAGAACCAGGGTTCAAATCCCACTCCAATCCAACTAAGCATTCCCTCCAAACACGGCCACCCCATTTCTCTCCGCCCCCCCCTTCCCGGGCAGGGCTTCCGAGCGCGGCAGGCCACTGCTCGCTCATCCAGGCGGTACAGGCCCAACACCTGCAACAGCTGCCGACAAAGCATTTGAGTATCTTCCATTTGCTTTAGACTCCTGGAAAATGATCGATTCCTTTTAAAACCAAGAGGGGGAAATAAAACATATTCGACATATTCTCAAACAATTGGAAGGTATGTTCACAAACAGGGGGACCCACAATGGTGGGGGAGGCGGTTCCTCTTGGTTTCCCATTAGAACTACCCTCAATTTAAAGGTACACTAAAAAAAACAGCATTGTGCAATCCCGAGTTCCAATTAAGCCGAATTGAACGGCACCCAAAGAGCAAATGGTTTTTAGGAAGATGGTCGCGGTTTGCACACGCCTCGCTATCGGCCCCCTACGAAAACACAGAATAGGCCCATAGGCCCTTTACCCAATGTGGGCGCTGGGGGTGGGAGCCGCCTAATTAGCAACCAGCAGGCAATGTTGACACTCCCCTGTTTCTGCGTGGTGCTGCTTGATTAGACCGATGCTCTCCCAAACTAGGGGTATGCTGGCGATGATTTCAGGCTTCCGTCTGCTTCCGGTAAGCTTTGTGGCACCTCAGACACACATCGAGCATCAGAATGCTAAAAAAAATGGCCAATCGAAGGTTGGGCTCTTTTGGGGCTGCGATGGCTGCACAAGCTGGCCCTCACCTACTCTACTCCGGCAAGCATCCTCAGCAAAGGATAGAAAGGCACATTTTTGGTGAGTCCACCATCCTTCCGTACGTCTGCCACAGAGGCTAAACATACGAACACATCGTACACAGAAACGATTCTGACTCTCTTTCATACTGTGGATGGACGAAATCCTGCACCACCTAAGAAACCCTGGCATGATGATTCCCTATAAATACCAACGCACGGTATGGTTTCCCATGCCTCCATGGTGCGAAATGGATTTCGTCCAACCACTGTAAGTTGTTCATGTTTAAATAGAAAGTCGTTTTGGAAGAGACACCAAGGAGAAGGCTGAAACGGACGTCTTATGAATCCGAGACTAAGGTAAAGCTTCATGGCTCTGGAGAAGCTTCTACTCAACGGCTTCAAACCTCATTGTGGGATTTCTTTGCAAAAACATGGCTCTAACAAACATATGTATACAATGTACATGCGCCCCCTTTCCCCCCCCCCCCTTGGGCCTTAGTCCGTTTGGGGATGATAAATCTGGAATCTAGAAGCTAGGTCCATGGGGGGTACCATATAATATGTATATATATATATATATTATGAGTCGTCCAAAATGGGTACACATCATGGCACATGGTCAGGACCAAACCTTCTGTCTGGTGGCTCAACTTGGACCCGTACCCACATGTCTTGACCACACCGGATGAACAGGCCGTTCCAGCCGAAGAGAAACCGCCGTCTTTTTTCTCAAGGCACCACTCCTCCTGTGGTTTCCAAGGACTCGTTTGAGGCACCAACCCGCCCCAATCTAGGCGTGTCTTTGCTTGAGAGTGCCCTTTTGGGGCTGGTTTGAGTGCCTTTTGGGGCGGGTTTTAAAGGAACACCACGAGGAAAACCAACAGTTTGACTGGTCCGACCTTTCATCTCCGAGTTGTCTGGGTCTCGAACCGTCAGATCCCCACCCTCGGGATCCGTACGGATGGTTGCGAAATCCAGGTCGCACCATGGAGCCATGGGAAACCATACCGTTCGTTGGTATTTATAGGGAGTCATGATTAGAGTTAGGCCCAGTTGTAGAATGTATATTTTATTGTTTGCTTCACTTTGAGTCACCTGTGAAATGTAAAATGTATCCTAGGTCTACCCCAGTTTATAGGGAGTCATCATGCCAGGGTGTTTTAGGTGGGGCAGGAGTTCGTCCATCCCCAGTGTTTCTCCCCAGGGGCCAGTCTTCTTGCCGCGGAACAAGACCGGACGAAAATGATTCGAGACCTTCCCCGTTTTCAGATCCCCTGCCAAAAGTTTAACTTTTGGTGGGTTAAATGGAAACCCAACCACTGAGCCCTAAAAACCTAAGGGGGTGGCTGGGAACCGCAAAGACTACCGGGTCGTTGCGCATATCTGTTCAACAAGGTCCTGAAACATCCCTCCCGATGGAGATGGAGACCTGCAAACAAAAACACTCCCAACCCCGCACCGACGGCGTGTTCAGCAGGTTGCACAGACCCACCTGAGAGCACCGAGTGGTGCGCGTCAATGTCGGCAGCAAAGCTCATCAGGGCGCATGTGTCTTTGTGTTTTTGTTGAGTTTGCTGCCCTCGCCATATTCCTGTCGTGGTTACGTTTTGTTGAGTCGTACGGATCACTAGTTGGAGGAGATTTCTCCTTCCCCTTCTGACCCTTCTCACATGGCTGTGGCTCAAATCAATGGAACCCAAAATGACACCTTGGCAAATGGAGCCAAAGACCAGAAGCTGCGTAACCCTGGCTCTTTCAGTTTGAGCCACACCCACATTGGTTTCAACGAGAACACCCCAAAGCCACGTCTCAACTTGTTCTCGGCCGAGTGGATCTTAAGCCCTGGGAGTGAGACGAAACGCGATCAGTGGGGAGCTAAAAATTGCCCAGATCCAGTTACCCGGGAACCAAAGGAACCGCCCTGTATAAAAAAACAAAAAACAAACCAAAAAAAACCAGCAGACACCGAGTTGGGTTCCTACCAGAGTAGCTGGAGTCATAAATTCTGCCCCCCATACCCCTAGTTAGAGCGGGGGAGTGACTGTCTGAAGCCATGAGGCCCCAACGGCAGACAGTTCGGAATGCACCAACCACAAAGGTTCCCAGTAGAGTGATATGAAGCAAGCCGGCGCCCATCTTGCAAATGGCGCCGTGTGCGCCAACACTTGTAAGCGATTGGATCACCACACCAACACAGCATGTTTCTGGCGATTGAATGCTTGACAGCAACTTCCTTTTGCTTAAGCCTCCTTGGAACAAAAAATAAGTTCAGTAGTGATAGATTCCCTTTCAAACCCACAAGGGAAACTAAACAACTTACTCATTTCAGCAAATGGAAGGCACCACTGAGGACACGTGCTTCACGTCCACTGAGTTCGAGTAAAACCTGCGACTCCAATGACCTCTCTAAGCCGAAGTGCAAAGGCTTGGTAGGGCGGGAGGTACAACAAGAGCATGGCTGCCAAGTAGCTCCTCGGTGAAAGAGTCAAGTCAGACTACAGCTGGGAGGAGTTTCACAGCAGCGTATCACTGGCAAACTCGCATGCCAAAAAGGCCCAAATCAGAATGTCAGGTATTTGTGTCAATCCAGGAAAAAAAGGAAAAATACTAAAAAGCATCCTGTTTGCATTTGCGGTCCGTTCTTTAGCCTTTGGCGCATTCTTCAACGCTTCAACTGGCGGCTTGTGGGCGACACTTCCCTTTTAGGAGACCTGCGTCCATTCCAGCGACTGAGAGTGCTACTCTCCCTGAGCCTCGCTCCAATTCCGGCTGAAATTTCAAGGTGCCCCTGGTTTTAGTGGGGGGGTCGTCACGTTTGGAGGGGAACATCTCATATTCATAAGCAGGGGTTTATTCTTCCGTGGTGAATTCTCTTCGGGACGGCAAGCACGGCTGAAGATCAGGTGTCGGAATAGGCCGTCGGTATGGACCACATCCGTTGCCGAGCCCGCTAAAGGGCATCGTCGCCCGAATCAACGAGGGTCTCGTTACTGGTAAAGGCGAGTCCGGGTTGCAAGATGCCAAACAGTTGCCTGTGACTTCCTCTAGGAAGCAAAGACCCTTTGGTGTAGAAATCACTCGACACCAATCCGTTCGTAATTGAGCGCAAGAACGCCTCCGGGTTGAGCGATCCCTGACCAATGGCTATGCCACTGGTGTAGTTACCCAAGGAAGCCCCCTTGGTCAGCGTGTTCTCGAGCCAAGTGTCGTCAAAGTTTAGGTACAAGCTGTGGGTCTTTCGCGTAGGCTTCTCAGAATGTGCATAGCCAGCAGCAACTTGCCGTCTGGGCTTACTGTATGGGTGTCCTTTAGCGGTCCCAACAACACAACTTTATGGCTGTGGGTCAAAAATAGGTACCCCAAATGGAACCTTAGTAAGTGGAAACCTGCGGTCCCCTAGGTGGTTTAATTTTGACCCATACCCATATGCACTTGCCCATCCACCGAGGTGAATGCATGCCGAAATGGTCTGTTCTGATGATTCTTCCTGTGACTGAA